TGAAAATTGTACTTAGGTACAGTAACGAAGTACTTGTACTTCGTTACTTCCCACCACTGCAAGGGAATAGTCCCTATATATTTAACAGTCCCTAAATTTAACAGCAAAATATCGGACGGTTCCGTATTTTACGGGATGGGTGGCAACCCTAGGTACATTTTTGTCTCTTACAAATATGTACGATTTTTCTGAAACTATGGGGTCTATAATATGCAGTTCTTTCTTTATTTTTTTTATTTATTTTGTTAGCCATGAAAATTCATTGTAAGTTGATTTCATATAATTTAAAATAATAAAATAAGTACTGAACTTGTTTTGGCAATGTCTTATTTTGAATTTTAGTAACGTGATAGTACGCTTAAAATTAAAATAAGGCACGTTGGAGTTTGGTTTTAATTCGACGCAACGTGGAACGTCTTCGGCAGAATATTAAAGAGAAATGTGGTATTATTTATCTATTTATTTATTTACTTGGTCGGTCTTTGTAATGAGTTCCTCATGGTTGGGCTGTTATGTGACGGGAAAGGTGACATCAGGAGAAAGGAATTAGAGTGAAGTACCGGACACGGGGGGAGGGACACATTTGGGACTAAATTTGGGCGGAAACAATAAGTCTTCGAGAGTCTCATAAACTGCAGAGGAACGTGGGAGAGAGACACAGAACGTCTGGAGCCATCTTCGTTTCGATTTGGAGCCAGGATTTCACCAACATGATGTTTTCAGGGAATCTAAGGTCTTTGGTTTTGGTGCTGGTTTGCTTGTTTTCTGCTGCCACTGCTGATGGTGCTTCCAAAATAAACGGTGAGAAAATCTTTCAGTCATGTCAACTAACCATTCCGTCTGAAATTAATCATGCGTCAAAATAACCTGCTTTTTGGCTTTCGCACACAAATGAGCTGGTCTTAGAAAACGAAGTAGGAAGAAACTAGGGGGTTCTTCGACATTGTTTCGCATCTCCATGTTTGACGTGAAAAAATATTAGTTGACATTAAATAATAGGGTGGTTAATTTTAAAGTTACAATTTTAAAGTTTGTAGTATTCGTTATTTCCCCCCAAAATTGAAGCATGAATGGTAAATTAAAGACTACTTTTGAGTGTTTATGTTTTTTTTTTCATCATTTTTATTTTTCTCTTTGTTTTTTTCTTTTTGAGTGTGTTAGAAATTTGGTACAGGGCCGGTCCAAGGTTGAATGTAGCCCTAATCACCTGCAACTTTTAGAATCCGAGGTGCCCTTTTCATCCTCATGAATAGATTCTCTTCTATGTTATGTTATTTGTCAAAAATTCATTGTAAAAAAAAAAGTTTTCAAACGAATGACACGAAAAATAGATGTAAAACAATGTTACTTGCACTTCTTGCACTTTTTGGGTCATTCTATCCTGAAAATTTAATGTGGGTATTCCACAAGAATCTGGATTTTTATTATATGTTGGAAAAATTAGTTGGTTCTTTTGTCATTTTTAACCAAATTTATGAAGAGCCAGTGTGAAAGGGCCAAAGAGCCAGTGAGTCTTGAGCCATTTTGTAGATCATTGCCCATGAGGAACAGCCATGTTTATTTGCTTGGAAATTTCACATTTTCTATAGTCCTAGAATGAACACAAGTTCATGGTTTGACAATCAGGCCAATCTGTTTGCATTATTTTTTCAGTAATTTTGTACCCAGGATTTAATTTATGCCCCTCCATACTTCTGCATTAGTCATGTCAACTACCCATTCTTGTAACAAATATATATATATATATATATACCTTTTTTTGTTAAAATATAATGTATTTACTATTTAAGGTTAATATCTTAAAAAAATAATCAAGATAAATAGTCATACTGAAATGCCTGATTTTAAGGTTTCAATGTTTTCTGAAAATTATATAGAATATATTCTACTTTATTCTGGTTTTTGTGTCTGTTTTGGACATTTGTTTCCTGATCCAATAAATCTCAACTGATCCCCTACTGATAGATATTACAGATGATTACTCTAAATCATCAATTGCCAAAGCAGGTACAAAACACAAATTGACAGTTTATATAAAACATCCAGCCTTTTTATACCTAAAAAAAAAAAGTTGTCAGAAGCAACCGAAAATGTAAAAGTATGAAATGATCAGATCTATTTCAGGTGTTGTCAGTTAAATTGCCTTGGGCCCTTCATAATGACTTTGTTTCTCTGAATTAATTCTTTGAATAGTAATTATTTCAGTTTATAGCACTCTGGGTCCTGATTTGCTTATTTATTTTTTTCTTTCGCCAGGTACTAATCTACGGAGCTTTGTCATTGGGCCAGAAGGCACAGATGAACCAATAGAGTACTTTGATGAAGATCAGCAATGGGTTCCTTCAAACCAAACAGGACGGAATAAAACATTAAACAGATCCTTCTCTAAAGAGGCACGTCAGTTCCTAACGAGCCCCATTTCCACGGTACTTATGCCTTCGTTCTACACCTTGGTGTGCTGCATCAGCGTTCCCATCAACCTCGCCGCCATCGTGGCCTTCTTTAAGGGCATCCAGCCAAAGAAGCCAGCAGCAATCTACATGCTGAACCTGGCCTCCGCTGACCTGCTCTTTGGCCTCTTGCTCCCCTTCAAGATCTCTTACCACTTCATGGGTAACGACTGGATATTCGGCGGGTTGCTGTGCCGAGTGGTCACCGCCAGCTTCTACTGGAACATGTACTGCTCCGTCCTTCTCATAACCTGCATCAGCGTGGACCGGTTCCTTGCGGTTGTGTACCCCATCGACTCCCTGGCTTGGAGGAAGACGGAGAACACCATCAAAGCCTGCGTGACCATGTGGGTCTTGTCCTTTGCTGCCTCTGTTCCTCTTGTCATCTTCGACCAGACATTTTACCTCAAAGGGCTGAACATCACCACCTGCCACGATGTCCAACTCTATACCGAGATACCGTGGTTGAAGATATATTTCATTGCCATCTGTTTCTCCCTGTTCGTTTTGCCTTTTCTTGTCACGGTGGGATCCTACACCAAAGTTATCTGGACGCTGAGGAGTGAAGTACGCGGGCTTCAAGGAAAATCACGCAAAAAAACAAGAGCAGTGGTGATGATCTTGACGGTCCTAGTGATTTTCATGCTGTGCTTCATGCCCACCAACTGCTCACTGCTGGTACACCACTTGCTGTTTGGGGTATCCAACATCGCCACCAAGGCCACCGACACCTCCTACCAGTTCTACTTGATGTTTTTGTGTTTGGGCAGTCTGAACTGCCTCCTGGATCCCCTCCTCTACTTCTTCGGCTCTTCCCAGTGTCAGAGACAGCTGTCCAACATGCTGTGTAGATCGTCGACAAAGGGTAGACTCACCAGTTCATCGTCTGACTCGTACAGATCCAGCACCAGACCCATTCTGAAGTCCAGCCGCACCGAATGCTCCACAATGTCTTCATCAGTGAGCAAAACGGACACATTAGAAGCAAACCTGAACAGCCAGTACAAGAAACTGTTGGTCTAATCACTGTGGCACTGGGCATTGGTTAGTATTTTTAAGTGCAGAAACACGAAGCTGTAAAATTAAGGCTACTACAAAAACTGAGCACTTAGTTGGGATGTTTCTGTTGAGATTTACTGAAATGAAAAGTAACCAAGCATCTTGCTCTAGTAGAAACACTAGAAATCTTTCTTTTTTTTTTGTCAGGAGGACAAACCTACACGCACAGATGTGAAGTTAAATCTGGCATAAAACTGAGTGTAAAACAGTATGCTTCACCTTTTCTCTATATTTACATTTGCACACTGAATGTTATTAGCTATTCCTTCAGCTTTTTTGAAGCAAATGTAAAGGTTGTTACATTTAGTGCTTTGTTTTATATGTAAGCTTTCAGCTATATTTTTTTCAAAATGTACAATATTTTTTGTATTTTTTAAATATTTTTGTCTCTTAATAAATATTTGAGACTCAACTTTGATGTTTTGACTTCTATTAAGCAAACTGTGAATTAACCAGAGGTTCCAGTTACAAGGAAAGTAGTTTAATGCTGCCACCTGCTGGACAAATATGTAAATCACTAAGTTTTAGATAACTTTCCATCTTTTATTTTTTGTTAAAACAATGGGTCACGTTATATTTAACAAATGTAACTGTAAGTTTGGTTGATACTGAAAAGAGAATTTATTGTAGTAACTTTGTTCATGAAATGAAAATCATGAATTATTTGCACAAAGTAATTTGAACTTATTTCTGTACGTCTTAATTGAATATGGATTACAACTAATGAAAACGTGACATTCGGTGTGAGAAATTTTTACATGATATTGGTAAAATTAAAATATAAGGCCTGCGGACGCAATTAGCCCTGTTGAATTGTAAGAATGTCCTTTTAAAATGAATTTAATTTCTCTGATGATACTATACACATTAATTGCGTCATCAAAAAGACATTCAAATAAAATTTGAGTATTATGATGATCATCAACAGAATTGGCTACAAATAAAAGCCAATGTAAAGTAAGTGTAAAACATGTCGCTAAAGGTAACGCATCCGTACCTCAAAACTGCTTATAACGCAGTGTCAAAATTGTTCTTACTCATCTACACCGATAGGTGGTGGTGTTTTACCGTTTATTAAGAAAAATATCCTCACCGCTTTAAAGCAATGCCAAAGAAAAGACACTTTAGTTACAGGTAGTTATTGCTTAAATGTCTCAAGATAGTAATTAACTTTTCCTGAAATTCTTTGTCACAGATCTTATTAAAATGTCCTTTATGCACAGAGTCAAAGATAACCTAGCTGAAATAGTTGAAAGAAGGGGAAAAAAAAAACTCAGAATATTATAAGCATTTTTAATTCGGCTGATATACTATTCTCCTTTGGGGAAGCAAAGTCGCTTTCTTCTAGCTTTTTTCCTCCCTAAGAGGTACATAAAATACTGAGTTTGTACATTAGATGTTCGCATACAGGCCAATAATTTAAAAAGAAATTATGGCTGATAATAATCGCTGATAGCATCAATTAGTCAGATTAAAAGAGTCATTGTACTAACTTCTATACCCTGACAACCTCGATGTGTAAACACAGTAAACCAGTTCAAGGAACTTCTTGTGTTATCGCCCACACCACAATCCCGCGTTCCTGGAAAGCAGGCGACACGTTTTTACATGAAATCTTCTCATAATTCCCAGATCAGTTACCGTCTTGGAGTGGGTGGGGGAAGGTTGGTGGCTTTGCGTAGTCACGTGACCTATAGTGACATCATCCAGGTGTCACGGAAGTTTGGTCTTGCAACCTGTAGAGACGAAACAAACGTCGTCGACGCAGACCGCGCCCGCGCTCTCATTTTTAACCTGCGCGTTTGTCACCTGAACTTACGGTCATGGAGACGTGTGCGTTGACAGAAGGTAAAGTTTAATCTTTTTTGTGCCTTTTCTTACTGTTATTACTTCAATAACCTGTCAGTGTGGAAACCCAGTACCTCAACATGTGTCTCATACCGTTAGGTTACACAGTACGTGCTTACACTACCAAGTCACCCAAGACATTTATTGTATTGTATTTCATGTGGAGTTTTAGTGTTGGACTACACAAAAGTAGTGGACAGTTGTAACGTGTAAGGTTAATAATAGGTGTTTGTTTTGTATTCAGCCATTACGTTGTGTACATGCCAGGTTTGCATATAGGGGGAGACATTTTGACCCATTCTTCTGGCCAAATGTCTCAAATGCAGTCGAATTGGATCTACATCCAATTCGACCAATCCAATCCAGAGTTTTATTTCCCCGTACTTCTCAATAGAATAAAAGTCTGGTCTTTGACTAGGCTATTTTAGCATATGGATGTGTTTCAAAGTCAACTCTTTTTGCTGAAGCTTAGTCTGTCCTCCTGGAAGGTGAACCTCTGTCCAAACCTCGAGTCTCATTCGACACATTCAGAGATGGAATGTTTTTGGAAGCCGGTCAGGATGTTCAGTTTTTCAGTCTTTTAGTCAGATCTCTAAAAGACTCACATGATCCATCCATTTTCTTTACAACCTTGTCCCTTTGTGGGGTCGGGAGGGTTGCTGGTGCCTATCTCCAACTAACGTTCCAGGTGAGAGGTGGGGTAACCCTGGACAGGTCACCAATCTGTCGCAGGGCAACACAGAGACACACAGGACAAACAACCATGCACACACACACACACACACACACACTCACACCTAGGGACAATTTTGGAGAGGCCAGTTAACCTGACAGTCATGTTTTTGGACTGTGGGAGGAAAGCAGAGTACCTGGAGAAAACCCACCATGCACAGGGAGAACATGCAAACTCCATGCAGAAAGACTGGGGCCGGGAATTGAAACCAGAACCTTATTGCTGCAAGGCAACAGCTCTACCAACTGCGCCACTGTGCAGCCTAAGCATCACATGAAAAAAAAGCAATTAGAAAAACAGTGTTGTATGGTACCAATGCCATAAGACACTAATCAACCAGAGTTATAAAAAAAAAGCAGCCTTTCCAAGAGTCCCTGATCGATCATATCGACTATAACCAGGAGGTCACAAGAACCCAGAACAACAGCTACAACTTCTGCAGAAATCGATTCCTTAATGTCAGTGTTTAACAGAGAGACTTGGCAGTAATGGGAAAGCTCATAAACCAGAACCAAGCACTGGCCAAAAGACCACAAAGGTGATGACCCCTTTTGAGAAAATTTTCCGTGGACTAATGAGACAAAAATGGAAATGTTTGGGAAGTGTGTGCCATGGCACTTCTGACCTAAAGAAGTGCCAGAGTGATGATTGTTTTACTGTCATCACTCTGACAGTTAAACAGGGTGGTGGTGATGTGATGGTCTGGGGCTTCTTTGCTTCCTTAACACCTGAAACTGCAGCGAGATTGTTCAGCTATCGATACAGAGCCCTTAGAACAATCCTGCTTTGATTTTACAGCAGGATAATGATCCAAAGCAGCAAGTCCACCTCTGAATGACTCAGAGCTGGGGTTAGGGTTAGAGTTTTGAAAGTGCCTAACAAAGCGTGGACTTAATTACAACTCAGAAACTTTGGTATAGTCTTTGATGCTTGAAAATCCACCAGCATGGCTGAATTATAGACATTTCTGCAAAGGAGCATGGGCCACAATTCCTCAATGAAGATATTGTCAATGCAGGCACAACCAAAATATAAACAAATTTATTCAATTGTGCCCTAAATTTCCCACCAATTTAGGGCACAATTATTTTTCCCCAGAGGTCCAGGTTGTTTTGGATAGGGTTTCTCCCTTAATGAATGAGGTCATTATTTACTCAAGCTATTTTTATCCAATCTTAAAACTTGCTTCATGATCTGAAAAAATATAGTGTAAATAAATAAATTAATTAAAAAAAGAGAGAGCAAATACTTTTTAGAGCACTGTATCTCTTTTTCAGGTCATGGTTATGCACTACTTTATGTTGGGTTTATCTCATGAAATCCCATTGAAGTACACTGACATTTATGGTTACTATTATGCATTGAATATTAAAAAGTTAATGTTTTATAAGTTGCCCTGCGACAGACTGGCAATCTGTCCAGGGTGTACCCCGCCTCTCGCCCGGAATGTTAGCTGGAGATGGGCACCAGCACCCCTACCGACCCCACTAAGGGACAAGGGTGTAAAGAAGATGGATGGATGGATGTTTTATAAGTACTTTTAGAAAGTTCTAAAAATAAAGCCTATTGTTTATTTGCTTATCCTTTCATGCTTTGAATTCACAGGAAATACCAAGGGCTTGATTGGGGGAGAAACGGACAATGGCATATTTCTTGGCTCTGAAGCCCAAGCAGTCCTGAAAAGTCCTCTCACAACCGCCTTCCTCCCAGCCGTCTACACCTTCGTGTTTCTCGTTGGGTTTCCCACCAACGCCTTGGCTCTATGGGTTTTCCTCTTCAGGACCAAGAAAAGGCACCCGTCATCCATCTACATGGCCAACCTGGCTCTTGCTGACCTGCTTTTTGTCATTTGGATCCCTTTAAAAATAGACTACCACCTCAACGGCAACAACTGGAAGTATGGAGACGGGCTGTGCAAAGTTCTGGTGGGGTTCTTCTATGGCAACATGTACTGCTCCATGGCCTTCATCGCTTGCATTAGTGTCCAACGTTACTGGGCTGTAGTCTACCCAATGTCCCAGCATCAAAGGAGCAATTTTTTAGCAGTGTCTGTTTCTGTAGTGATTTGGGTGCTGGTGTGGATCATCACCATTCCTCTCTACCTCTACGATCAAGAAGTAAACATACCAAACATGTGCATCCGGACCTGCCATGATGTCACCAAGCCAAGCCAAAAGAAGACTGCGGCTGGATACTTCTTGACAATGGGAACGGTGGGATATGTCATCCCCACAGTTGTATGCATCATGTCGTACGTCTTCATGCTCAGGGCTCTCCAGGACAGCATGGGGGACCCTACCATTGCCAAGAAGCGCCGCAAGGCTGTGGTCTTGATCATCACCGTCCTGGTCATGTTTATCGTCTGTTTCACCCCCAGTAACATCATGCTGCTGGCGCACTACATCCTCCTGCTGGGAGAGGTTGTGAACAACGGGTATGGGTTTTACATCACCACCCTGTGCCTAGCGAGCCTGAACAGCTGCGTGGACCCTTTTATTTACTACTTCATCTCTGAGGACTTCAGGGAGCACGTGAAGAACACGTTTCTGTGCAGGAGTCAGAGGTCAGTTGAGAGGAAGAAGATCTCCTTCAGCGCTCTGAAGTTCTCCAAGAAGAGCGGCTCGTACACCACCAGTAGTACACGAAACACACAGAGCAGCGATTGTTGATGGCGGTGTCGTTACTAATCCTCTTGTGGTCTTAGCACGACGCTCTGAAGGAGCGTGAAGGACATCAAGGTCGGGAAGCGGGAGGGGTGTAAAGACGCAGGCGGGGTCAGTGCGACCCCCATCAGATCGCTCACAGGGTGAAGAGTTTGCGGGGTCAACTGGGCCCTGTCCTTTAAGACTACGCGAGGGTTAAACTCAGGTTTGAGAGAAAATAGATCTTGAGATGGAGTATTTAGGAACAGGTCTATAATTTTCTAGAGCTTTTTTTTTTGCATGGTCAATATTTCTTTTTGAAAAAATAATTTGTACAGTTATTTTATTTTTATTTTTTTTTACATATTTTATGTATTCTGCTATATGCCTCATTTTATTGACATTTTTGACCAGTTACCTTGATCACATAGAAAATACTTATGTTGTGGTTTTAGATAAGTGAATGTAGCCTTTTTGTGTGCCACAGGACTGTAAATCAATGTGTTAATGACACCTATTAAATTATGTAAAACTACCTTAATAATTGACTTCTTTTATATATATTTTTGTATAGCCATGCATTTTAGCCTTTGTCAAACCAAAAGGGGGAAAAATATTTAGAATCACAATGTTCAAACAAATCTTTTTCAATTTACAGAATTTAGTCAAAAGAAAATGATAAACACAATAGTTTAAGCTACACTTCTGCTAAACCTACCAAGATGGTTTACAATCTTTCATGTTTTCATGCTGCAAGGAGAAAAATTGAGTCATTGGCCCAACTATTAGTTCAGCTCTTCCTGCTTCCTGCATGGAAAAAACCTGTTTCATTTACATTGTAAATTTTTACCTGAATCAGCTGATTTGAATTCGGATCAAAGAACATGGTTACATGCTGAGTATGTAGATGGTTTAAATTGGGGATTTGCCAATCATTTAATCAATCACTGATCACTGATCAAAATCAACCAGTTTTATCTTAGTTCGCTCTGACTGAAGACGAGCACCGAGAAATCTTTGTAAATCAAATGCATTCAAAAGCTGAAACTCCCATTTTGTTTGGTCTGTAAATGCATCAGTTTAGTAAAACTCAGGTTAGAGATGAATGGGGAAAACTTTGTGTTTTTCTGTTGAATTCAAAAATACTAATACTTTTATCAAGAAGCTTCCCTCAGAGTTGGAATGCTATTTTTTTTGTGTGTTTAACAACTAAAAAAGAGTTTATATGTGCTGGACACTTCTTCAACCTACATTGAACACTCCTTCTGATACCTCCAACACCTTTATTTACCCTTGCTTTGTTTGTCACTCATACAATTCACATTATGCATGGTAATAATTTTAAACCTAGCCCTTTTATAAGACCAATTTTGGTCAAGCAAAAATTATGATGTATGTGTTCAAATGGACATTTTACTCTTTTTAAGGGTTTCTGGTCTTTGTCTTGTAATGCAGTCCAGTAAATATTCAACCTTTGGGTGAAACAAACACCCAAAAACATTTCTCACATGCAAAGAATATCTTTTAAAAGCTTTTAAAAATGTTACTAGAAGATTGCAGTGAGATTAATCAAATATTAAGCTGCTGCATGTGGAACTAAAAAAGACCTTTAAATATGCGTGTGTAGCTGAGAGTGTATTGTATGGCAGACTGTTGGAAAGGTCAAACTATAGTTGTTCCTTATTTTCATAACACACATGTTTACCATTTGTTCTCAGTTCAGGGTTGGTCCTACACCACTTCAGTACTGTGTCAGACCTTTGAGTGTTATATCACCAAAAACAATTATGGCCAAACTAATTAGCTTACTGACCAATTGTGACTCGGTAATATTTTGTCTTTCTACCATAGATGGATAGACAGTCAGTGTAAAATAGTTACTTCAGTTTGAGTCTTCTTTAAATTCTACAGAACTCCTGCCCACAGAAAGAAATTTGACTTTGTATTTTAGCGCCTTAGTAAAAAGGCGCTAAAATACAAAATTGGGTCTCTGTCTCTTAAAGAAACTCCTGCTCTTTCTGAAACTCTGCCTTCAGGAAGTCATCAAAAATGGTTCCTATTAACCCTTTAACAACATTTTTATCAGCATTTCACTGAGAAGTAGCTCCTATAATGAGCTCAGAAGATGCAGTTCCGCCAGGTATTTGCTAATTGCTGCTGCCTAGTCTGAAGGAGTTGAGTGGTGGAGTCACGGGGATGGGTGCTGAAAATTTTTCTCACTCTCTTAGTTCCTCAAAAATAAAAGGTTTGGACGCTTGGAAACTGCAACTCTGAGGAGGAGTTCCGTCCTCGAAGGCGGAGCTAGGTCCAAGCTGGCTTTTTGCACAGGTTGCCATGGGAGATTAAAGGATTTCTCAAACATGCATGTAAGAAGCAAAGCAACACTCTGGGTATGTTTCTGATGAGGAAATAACATTATTAAATTATGTAAAACTAAAAAAAAAAAAAAAAAAAAAAAAAAAATTAAACACAATCCTACCTTTTAAAAAAAAAAAATAAAAAAA